TGGCAGGGGACAGCTAGTAATATAATATATTGTATTTACATATAACTTGCAAGCCACTCTGAGTCCCCTTTGGGGCGAGAAGGACGGCGGCATATAAACGTCGTAAATAAATAAATGCAGGCGAAACGTCAGGAGAGAATGCTTCTGGAGGCTAAACATCTGGAGGGACCTGAGTTTGCCCATACCTGATCTAAACTCTAGAATGAATGCAGTTTGACACCACTTTATCTGACATGGCTCAATGCTATAGACTAGTGAGAGTTGTAATTTAGTTAGATGTCTACATTATTTGGCAGAGAAGGCGAGAGACCTTATAAAACTACAACTTCCAGAATTACAGAGCATTGAGCCACGGCAATCAAAGCGGAACCAAACTGCATTAATGCTGCAGTGTAGATGCTCCCAGAAGGAAGCCCAGTTCAGCACAGTGGGAGTAGTAAACAAAGGCATGCGGTGAAAACATGGCCCCACAGCGCCCTCTAGAGGCAAGTAGCGGGAGAGCAGCCACAGTCTCACTTCTGCTTTGTAGACTCCGCCTAAAATTGAGCCGGAGAGCCAGCCTCTTCCGCTTCCCTTCCAGCACAACCTTGTAAGTAGAATCACTTTGCCCTTTTTGCGTGTTTTTAGAGGGTTTTAGAAACTGAGAGTCGGAGTACCATTTGTGGGAAGAGGGGGGAAACCAGGTTAGGTGCTGTTAGCCGGGCGAGAGTCTGCTGGTGATCCCTGGGCATGTTTTTAAAGCAGCCATGGCAGCCACGTGTGCTCTGGGGTGCATCTACACTTCAGAATTGGCGCAGTTCGACACCACTTAATGTGCCATGCAATGGTATCCTGGGTTTGTAGCTGTACACGATCTTCAGGGCTGGTTCCTCACCAAGCTACAACTCCCAGGATTCCATAGTGTTGAGCCCTGGGAGTTAAAAAGTGGTATCAAACTGCGTTAACTCAACAGTGTAGATGCACCCTATTACCACTCCATGAATTTGAGAGGGTTTTCTTAGACAAGGAATACTCAGAATAGTCCTGAGTCTAGACCCGAGTCCTGTTTGGAGAAGGGGCGGGATATAAATAAAGATACATTTATTATTATTTATTGTTAATATTAGTGTTTTCTGAAAATGTAGCCCAAAGCTTGGTGTTCATTGGCAGCCGCCCATCCAAGGATTAACCATGGCTGACCCTGCTTAGCTTCCAATATCAGGCAGTAATTGGTGCCTTTCACCACCTGCTTCTTCAATTTGGGACAAGTTGAGAAAATAAGAAAGTAGAAGAAGGATGAAATCTCCACTAAGCCTGAAGTTTCTCGCTGTTTTGCAAACATGAACATTTGTGAGTTATGTTTGCTACTCCCTTACCCTCAACTGGACTGGTGGCGCAGCGGGTTAAACCACTGAGCTGCTGAACTTGCTGACTGAAAGATTGGCGATTTGAACTTGAGGAGTTCCCACTGTTAGGCCCAGCTTCTGCCAACCGAACAGTTCGGAAACATGCAAATGTGAGATCAGTAGGTACTGCTTCTGTACTGCGCTCCATGCAGTCATGCTGGCCACATAACTTAGGGGGTGTCTATGGACAATGCTGGTTCTTCAGCTTAGAAATGGAGATGAGCACCACCCCCTGCAGTCAGACTCGATTAGACTTAATGTCAGGGAAAACCTATCCTCAAATATACTCAAGATTTTCAGTATTATTTTAACATTCATTTGAAGCTGCAAGGCCATTCAGTGCTAATCAAGGTGATCATTTATAACATTCACACTTGCCTCAAACATACAAGAGTTCTTTCTCCCACCCTGGACATTCCACAGATATATAAACCACACTTGCCTATTTTCAACAGATGTCACATCCTCTAAGGGTGTCTGCCATAGATGTGGGCGAAACGTCCATTCCTTCTTTCCCATCTTTCCCCTAACTTCCGTCCCACCTTCTTTCCTCCCCCTTCTCGCTCTTTCCCTCCCTCTCTGTCCCTTTCTTCCTTCTCTTATTACTTCCTTCTTTCTCCCCTTTTACTACCAACATTCCATACATCATGCTCTGGAATCAATAGGGAGACGCCATTTCTGAGGAGCTGCTGCCTTTGCAAAGAATGGCAGCGATGTGCCCTTTTCTCTCCGACTTCTGGGGCCAGGGTCACTGAGAAAGAGGAGAGGAAGGAAGGCGCGCAAGAGGGGGAGAAGGAAGACAAGCGTGCAAGAGAGGAGAGTTGGGTTGCTGTGCAGACATGAGGATCCTGGCGAGAAGGGGCTGAAAGAAGGGCTTCTGGGTTGTTGTAGTTTTTTTTCGGGCTATATGGCCATGTTCTAGAGACATTCTCTCCTGACGTTTCGCCTGCATCTATGGCAAGCATCCCCAGAGCTTGTGAGAAAGGCTTCTTTCAGCCCCACACCTTCCTGCCGGGACCCTCACTCGAGTATAAGCCAAGGGAGGCTTTTTCAGCCCTAAAAAAGCTGAAAATCTAGGCTTATACTCGAGTATATACATAATATTTTCTTTCACTAGGCTCTTCAGATTCCACCTGAACATGAGGAAGAATTTCCTAACAGCGAGAGCTGTTCAGCAGTGGAACTCTCTGCCTCTGAGTATGGTGGAGGCTCCTTCTTTGGAGGCTTTTAAACAGAGGCTGGATGGCCATCTGTCAGGGGTGTTTTGAATGCAGTTTCCCTACTTCTTGGCAGGAGGTTGGACTGGATGGCCCACGAGGTCTCTTCCAACTCTATGATTTCCATTCCCAAAACAATATATGCTCTTTTTAATATGATGGGGTTATTTTCTGTGGCAGGCTCTGTCTGCTTCCTTTATCCTTCTCTCTCTATTTTTCATCCTAACATCAGAGTTTGGAAAAGTACCTTTTTAGTAGAAATTCTCTACCACATTGGCTTGGGGATTCTAGGACTTGTAATCCTAAAATATACCTTTCCAAGTGCTGCAAGGTATCAGCACACAAGAATATGCTATAATGGTGCTGCGAGGAATAAATTCTACCATGGGTTGTTGTAGGTTTTTTTTGGGCTGTATGGTCATGTTCTAGAAGCATTCTCTCCTGACGTTTCGCCTGCATCTATGGCAAGCATCCTCAGAGGTTGTGAGGTCTACCGTGTTCAGGCATTGTACTTGTTTGGTGTTGTTCTCAATACTTCTTGCTGTTTTTAATCTAGAGCTCAAGTGTGGAGGAATCACGAGAGCATCAGGATGTCTGCTCAGGAAGGGAAGGGGACCCTCCGCAAGTCAAAGCACATGACTGTAAAGACATCTCTGAACAATCCCTTTGCCCTCAAGTGGCGCTCTATGGAAGGAGGAAATATGCACTTCATATTGGAGGCTTTGGAAGAAGTTCTGAAGCGTCTTGCTTTCAAAAAGGTCGAGCTTCGGAGGCGCAAGAAACCCTTCCCTGGGCAAAAACAAAAGAAGGAACAACGCTGTGCCGATACAGGTGAGCTTCAAGACGAGAATGAAAACAAAGAGGTTCAACTACATGGCTGGACCAACGTGGAGATCAGAAATCAGCTTGCCATTGGGATTAATGAAGTCACACGAGCCTTAGAAAAAAATGAGCTACGTCTTGTACTGGTGTGTAAATCTGCCTCGCCTACGCTACTCACATCTCACTTGATTCCGCTGAGTGTGAGCCGAGCTGTTCCCGCCGGACAAGTCCCACGTTTTAGTGAAAGACTAGCACCGGTTCTTGGCCTAACATCTGTCCTGGCACTTGGATTTAAAAGGAACACTGATGCCTTCGCAGAGGTGGTTGAAAAGATAATTCCACGAATATCCAGTCTGGAGGTGCCGTGGATTCACCATGGGACAGAACAAGCCACAGGGAGTGAAGAAAGTATTGTTCTAATGGACTCGCCAGCAGTTGAGCTCATGGAGCAAGAAGACTGCTCTTCTCCCAAACAGAAACGGAAGAGATCGGATAACAGCAAGCTTGCCCCTCCTAAGGTAGTTCTGCAAGAGCTCAAGGTTAAAAAAATAGTTCCCAATCCAAACAGGAGAAGGAAGCTCCCCAAAACTAAAAAACGGATTTCAAAGTAACGGATTGTTTCTGTTTGGTTCCTCCATTTTCTGTATGTTTTACTGTGTGTTTACATAAACTATATAATATTTTGTCAAAAATGGTAAAGCTTTCGACAACACAATGTAAAGTTTCCTACTCCTTAATTTAAAAGGTCTTAAGATCAGTTCTTTTATATTAAATATCTACCTATAACATGTATTTCATAGGTCATTTTGTTGTTTGACCGGCCAACTTTGAAAATAGTCTTTAAATCTGCATAATTAATGAAATCTGTCTAGTTTTCCCCCCAAGGCAACAGCATACACTGCATTCCAAAGCAAGGACGAAAGGTAAACAAACAGCTGTTCTCTTACATTTTCTTCAGTAGCGAAAAAATAAAAATGAATGGGATTTTTTTTCATGTAAGGAGCGACTTGAGAAACTGCAGTGGGACGTTGAAATTAGGCATTTCACTCAGTTGGCCCCATCATTAGGCAAAGTGAGGTCTTTCTCCACCCCAACGCTCTTTAGTGTGTCTTTTTAGTATTGAATTCAGTTGAATTATTACCAGACCTTTTACCCTTTCTCCCACCTGCTTTAATTCTTTGCTGTGTCTAATACAGTAGTGTCTCGCTTATCCGACATAAACAAGCCGGCAGAATGTCGGATAAACGAAAATGTCGGATAACTGTTACTGTCCGATGCGGCGTTAGACACCTAGAATACTAACAACAAAGACTTAAAGGGTTAAGGCAAGGCAACGCCTCGGGGCTAGAGAGGTCCAGCAGGAAGTGGCTGGAGCATGGAAATCACAGAGGGAAGGAGGGAGGACGCTTCTGCTTCTGGTCCTGCCTCTTTTCCACCTTTCCTCCTGCCTCCACCTTGTTTTGCCTTTTTCACTTATTGGAAATGCCGAGAGAGAGAGTTGGGGAGCGCTCCTCTAATTGAAGGGGAAATGCTGGAGGAAAAGGGAAGCATCGGATAAGACGGAATGTCAGATAAGCGAAGGTCAGATAAGTGAGACTCTATTGTAACAACAGATGTTTCCATTAGCAGACTTGTAGCCCAAAAAAGCCAACCTAATATTAAATATTGATAAGGCTAATTTATTTGGCCATTAAAAATAACATTTTAAAAAGTAAAGGTTTCCCCTGAGATTACGTCTAGTTGTGTCTGACTCTGGGGTGGTGGTGCTCAGGGCCGTAGCGGGGGGGGGGGGGGGGGGGGGGGGGGGGGGGTGTGTGTTAAAAATTCAACCATGCCCTGAAATGTGTCAGGTTAAAAAAGAAACCTGGTTTACTCATAACTTGGTTAACTAGTAAAAATATTTGAGTAAACCAGATTCTTTGGTTAACCCCCCCCTCCCCCCATGGCTACAGCCCTGGTGGTGCTCACCTCTATTTCTAAGCTGAAGAGCCGCCGTTGTCCATAGACACCTCCAAGGTCATGTGGCTGGCATGACTGCATGGAATGCCGTTACCTTCCCGCAGAAGCAGTACCTATTGATCTACTCACATTTGCATGTTTTGGAACTGCTAGGTTGGCAGAAGCTAGGCCTAACAGCAGGAGCTCACTCCACTCCCTGGATTCGAACTGCCAACCTTTTGGTCAGTGGTTTAACTCGCTGCGCCACCAGGGAGCATTACCTTTAAAACATTACCTTACACAACTACTGTGTGAAGACATTGCTAAGACATACAGAATTAGAGTGCATTTTTTTTCAGAAAGAATCTAGTAATACTCAGAACAGTGGTGTTTTAAATGACACATAATTATTCAAAACCAAACAGTACGAAAATGGTATATTTATTCAAACATCCATCTGTGCTGATTCAAGATTCAATAGCTGGTCATCTGTTAAATGCTGGAGCTGCAAATATCTGCAAACTTAAAAGCACAGTGTTCCCTTCCCCGCTTTTACGATTCTTTTCACTATTAGATATTTGCCATCGTGGTCAATTAATGCATGCAGAACTGACTCTTAAGTGCATTTTGGATTTAAAAAGAAGGTTTTCTTTAGCATGTCAAATCAGTCCTACAGGAATGAAAACATTTGAAATTTGGACTTTTAGATGCAGGTCGCAACATCCTAGCATACTCCATGATGCAGTTTCCTAAACAGAAGTTACAGCTCTAATCGGTTCGGATTAATATCACATGCTGTTAAATTCCAAGAACTAAAATGGCTTCTCGGCAATTAAAAGGATACTGGAGCTTAAATATTTGTTCAGAGTTTATACTTGCTTCAGAAAGCTGCTATAGTATAAATATCGAAAACAGGCATGTTGTAAGGATCTGGGAAGTAACAGTATTAAGGATTTGTAGATAATTACATACCATGTTCACATGTAACACTAAACCATGCACGGACAGATTTGAGCCCTACAGAGGTTGTTGGACTACAGTTCCCATTAGCCCTAGCCACATAGTACAAGAGTTTGTGGAAATTGCAGTCCAAAAAAGCCTGTAGGACTGCCTTTGTGCTGAATTGTGGCTTTATGTGGACAAGCTTTGGCAACCTCAAGTAAATCACAACATTGATATGCCCCTGTAGAGCATCAGTTTCGGGGAGGGAAAAAAAGAAAGCTACAAATGGCCGCTCTTTAGCAGGCTTGATTGATAAAACTAGAGTTTGATTCACCCTTCCCGAATTCAGGAATGGAGAAAGTTGATCAAAATTCTGCAAGAGCATCTCTCTTGACAAATGAGTAGGCAAACCTCTGGCTTCAATTGGATTGAGTTAAGGTTGTGCACAGCAGTGATGGGAATTGTGTGGCCCTCCAGATGTTGCTGATTTATGTCTCCCAGCAGCCTTAGCAGCGAATGGACGCGGAACAATGGCTTCAAACTACAAGAAAGGAGATTCCACCTGAATGTTAGGAAGAATTTCCTGATTGTGAGCTGTTCAGCAGTGGAACTCTCTGCCCCAGAGTGTGGTGGAGGCTCCTTCTTTGGAGGCTTTTAAACAGAGGCTGGATGGCTATCTGTCGAGGGTGCTTCGAATGCTGTTTTCCTGCTTCTTGGCAGGGGGTTGGACTGGATGGCCCATGAGGTCTCTTCAAATTCTATGATTCTATGGTGAAGAATGTTGCAAAGTGCATTAACATCTGGAGGGCTGATTAATTCTCATCCCTGGCTGAGTGCTGTCTACAATCTGGTCAATTTAGTCACATGGAAAATTTATGTATACTAGCTGAGCTTTATTACAATAATTTGTATCCAAAAGTGTATGAAATGTCAATTTCTAAATTTATTTATATCTACCCTACTTTGTGTTTCACCTTTTTTGGAATGAAAAAATGTCAAGGTAAAGGTTTTCCCTGACATTAAATCTAGTCGTGTCCGACTGGGAGGTGGTGCTCATGTCCATTTCTAAAGCTGAAGAGCCAGCATTGACCGTAGGTCATGGTCATGTGGTCAGCATGATTGCATGGAGCACCGTTACCTTCCCACAGAAGCGGTACTTATAGATCTATTCACATTTGCATATTTTTGAACTGCTAGGTTGGCAGAAGCTGGGCCTAACAGTGGGAGGTCACCTCACTCCCTAGATTCGAACCGCCAGTCTTTTGGTCAGCAAGTTCAGCAGCTCAGCGGTTTAACCCACTGTGCCACCAGAGGGCTTTTGGAATGAACGAGGTACAAAAACACTGGGGAAAAACCTGATAGGAAATATTGGCTTATATCTTTTCTAAATTCAGAAGGAAACATATGGGAAGCAGTAGAACATAAAGAACAACTTTGGGGGAACACGCAGTAGGCACGGGGAATCCATGGTTCTAAATGGTTCTAAAGTACTTACAAAACTAGAGGGCATTGGTGCTTTGCTTCTAAAGTGTTGCTAAAGTTCTGGTGGTGAAAATTTCAGAACTCTAACAAAACTTTCAAAATTTCATTATTATTTCGTTATTGGCGATGTCTGGGTATCAGCCAGCACGTCGACGACTTAAATCAAGAAATAGTTTTCTAAGATCTACAGAGACACTCGCTGGAACACCTCAGCAAGCAAGAGTCCAAAAGTGGCAGGCTGAAACCCAGAACCTCAATCAATGGCTGGTACCAAATGAGAGACTCCCCCCCGGGCACACAGAAAACTGGGCGACTTGGAAGGCGCTGAACAGACTGCGCTCTGGCACCACGAGATGCAGAGCCAACCTTAAGAAATGAGGCTACAAAGTGGAATCCACAACATGTGAGTGTGAAGAAGAGCAAACTACAGACCACCTGCTGCAATGCAACCTGAGCCCTGCTACATGCACAATGGAGGACCTTCTTATAGTAACACCAGAGGCACTCCCAAGTAGCCAGCTACTCGTCAAAGAACATTTAATCAACTACCAAGTTTGCAAACTAGTGTTTTGTTTGTTTGTCTGTTAAAAAAATGCAGTACAACTGTTTGGTCTGCTCCTGACACAATATATAAATTGGCGATTTTTATGAAAGTTTTGTTAGAGTTCTCACATTTTCACCACCAGAACGTTAGCAACACTTTAGAAGCTAAGCACCAGTGCGCTCTAGTTTTATAAGTATTTTAGAACCATGGATTGCCTGTGCGTAATACGCAGCTCATGGGCACACATTTGTCCCAATCTAAACCTTTTATTCTTAAGTGGCTGAATAAAAATCTGCTAAATTGACCACTAAGAAGCATGACTTCATTTGCCAGAAGTATTCAGATTTTGTGGACTTAGGGGTGAATTTACCATGAAGTAGCTCACAAATAATACTGTCTACGAACGAACTTCGCTCTTTTCTAGCCTTTCTGTTCAAATATCAGGTTTCTATTGTTGTTAGTGGAAGGAGTGGAATGCATATAAACTATTTCGTATTTTAACTTGGGCTTCGTCAGTAGGGAAAGAGATATACATCATGGCATAATCCCATATCAAACAAGTAAGTGTTTGCAATGTTGTGAACATTTGTTCAAGGGATAATGAAACCCCTTTGCTTCAAAATCCAGGATCATACTACTAGCAACAATTTTACTTATTTACACAAAACATAACGTTCATTTCAAAATTATGGACATTTTTTTAAAAAAGCAAGTAGACAAAAAGGAATATGTGCAATTTTGCAAAAAGCCTTTGAACACATTCAGTCTTGACACATTTGGATAAACAGTACTAAAATCCTTAAGTTTTATGTACAGCTGTTCTCACCCTACCGCCAAAAGTGTAGGCTTCCTTTCCTCAAGAGCTGTAAGATGGAACAGAATAAGAGAATTCAGACAACATATAAACACCTGCACTGAACAGTGCAATACTATTGAGTCAAGTCGGTGATCTCTCGCAGATCAAAGTACAAATCTGTGTGTTCTTTTTTTATTGATTTGGCAGCATTGCTGATGGAGAAACAAATGCACTAGTCAAACCAGCACATTTCGGGACCACTCCACAGTTACAAAAGACACCCAAGATTTCCATTGTTTCCTAATAGACAGACTCCCCAACCTGCCTCCTTTCTCGACGATGACGTCCTCGTAATGGAAATAAGCAGAAATACTTAAAATTGGCTCCTTCATTTTTGTTACACGGATAAACATACACTACCACTTATAATAAATAGAAATGCAGCAGTTCAGTCACATAACAGTAAAGAATTGGTACTCTATTCCAACACTGCCATTGAGGAGTTGTACAAAAACTGTCCTATGCGGGGGAAATGGGGGGAGGGAAGAGAGGAGAACCCTTTTTGTCAAGATGCGAGCGAAGCGTTGCAAAACAAGACACCTGTGCTTTCTTTTCATGGATTAAAAACAGAAAAAGGCCAAGGAGCTCTTCCTGTTCACAGCGGAAGGTGTGGAGGGCCGGTCCCCTGTGGGTTTCTTCGCTCCCCTCCTGCACACCCGCAAGGTTCAATGGTTTTGTTTAAAGTTCATCAGGCGTTGTGCTTTTACTCCTCTTGAGCTGCACGGGTCCAAGAGCTTCCGTCAGCCCAAATGATTATTATCAAGAACTATAAATACAAGTGTCTTTCCTCCTTATTGTAGTACAAGGCCGACCTAGGAAAAAAAGCAACGTGTGGGGTTAGTTGAGACAAGAGACACAGTAAGTACGAAAAGTAACTATATTGATTTTGACACTGATATTTTCCTTCAGTAATTCGAAAACAGCTTTAGCTGTAATTAGAGAAATTAGTTATCGCTAAAAAGAGGGGGAAGTGTTTGATGACGACATAAAGAAGATCAGAAAATGCTGGGTATGTCACAACTCAGGATAGATTCACCTTGCTCAGAACACCACTACACACTAAGGCTGTAGGTCTTGTAGTTTATTGAAGAAAAAGCAAAATCGTAAAAATAGAAATAAAGTTGCAAAAGTTCAATAGCCAAAACAGAGTCTTAAATGGAAAGACAGAATTTCCAAGTCCCAAAGAGCCAAAAGCTTTCCCCAAAAGCTGAGGCAATTCCAGAGAAGTTAATAGTGTGTAAGCAAAGTTGCACTGACAAAGGGTTGACTTCAATCAGATCGTTAAATATGCTTTCCTAATATGAAAGTATTACATTGACCTCGAACCTCCCGTTTGTTAGCAAGCCGAGCACTTCGATGTACCCTTAATTGCAAACGGTCCTCCCTAACTAAATCCCCATCACCTTCAAGGCTGAATAATCAGCGGCAACCGCAGATTATCCAGTCCGGCTCGGACGTTTCAGCACCCACCCTATAAGATGACTCCTAGCGAATAAGACGACCCCTGACTTTTGAGAAGATTTTTTTGGGTTAAAATGTAGTCTTAATACGCCAGAAAATACAGTATTCAAATGGTTTAGGACTTAGTTATCATGCATGTAACAAGAAGAATGTTATGAATATATAATAAGAGAGCAAAATTATAGACCTGAGAAATTATATACAAACTAGCATAAATATTCGGCGTTGCTTGGGTGTCAGAACCACTGCCTGCCTAATTTCTCCCTTCTCCAACTCTGAGAGGGTTGACCTCACAATGTATCCATGGGCAGGCTCTCTTTATTGGCTCTTTCCTATCTTTCCCTCAAACACATTTCAACTTTCTTTCCTAGTGACGTCACAGTTGGGTACTTAACCTAGCAACAGCCTATCCAGCGATATCACTTGTGCACCAGCTGTGCCCGTACCTTGAGATGACTGACTTGGCCATGGTAGTCCATGCCTTAGTCACATCCCATCTGGATTACTGCAATACTTTCTACATGGGGCTGCCTTTGAAGATAGCTCGGAAGCTACAGCTAATACAAAGATTGGTAGCCAGGTTGCAAACAGGGGAACCATCCAGGGAGAGAACCACTCCCATGTTATGTTAGTTCCACTGGCTGCTGGTCTGCTTCTGAGCTAAATACAAGTGTTGGTCACTACCTATAAAGCCCTAAATGGTCTGGGTCCAGGCTATTTGGCTAACTGCATCTCCCTATATAGACCATCCCGCACATTGTTGTCAGGGGAGGAGTCCCTGCTCCCGATCCCACCCCCATCTCAAGCACAGCTGGTGGGAACGAGAGAGGGGGCCTTCTCTGTGACCGCTCCCCCCTCAGGAACTCCCTTCCTCAAGAAATAAAAATTCTCCTCTTAAAAGAGAAACACATCTATGTACTTTAGCGTACAGAGAGGAGGAGGACTAACACAATTTAATCAACAACCTAACGAACACTTTATGGCCACTACGGCCACAAATTAAACATTTGATGGTTATCAATCAGCATTTGCAAGGCTACCTTTTTATGAAGCACAGCTGGAGCATTTTCTGTGGAGTCCACTGTAAACACTGCACATTGCTGCTAACAGATTTGTGTAAATGGGTGGCGTTCAAAAATCTTTTATTGTTGCCCCAAAAAATTTGTGACCCCCAACACTGAACTAAGGGGACCCAATTTGGCTTTGGGACCCACAACTTAAGAAGCCTGGGTATAGACAAAGATACATACATACTTTAACTTTTTTCTATATATATGGTATATACAAGATAAGTTTTTGTGACGAGTGTGTTACCTTTTCGGAATCCATGCCAGGACACCTCCAGTTATACAAATAATATTGTAAGTTGCCATCTCCAATACCAAATTTCAGTTTTTCCAGGAATGTTTTATTTTCCATCAAGTCTAGTGCATTGAACACATCAAATCCTTTCTGGCAAAACAAGAATATTCAGAATTGATTGTGTGATAAGGCTCACTTATGTTCTAATTACAGAACTTAGTTCTATTAAGGAAGACGAGTCTGTTGTCCATCTCTTCCCCACAACCAATGTCACAATTAGCAGGAGCCATGGTGGCATAATGGGTTAAACCCTTGTGCCTGAAGTTTGGCAGTTCGAATCCGCAAGACAGGGTGAGCTTCTGTCAGCTACAGCTTCCCATATGGGGACATGAGAGAAGCCTCCCAGAGGATGGTTAAGCATCCGGGTGTCCCCTGGGCAAAGTCCCTGCAAACGGCCAATTCTCTCACGCCAGAAGCGACTTGCAGTTTCTCAAGTTGCTCCTGACATGAAATTATTATAGCTTGTACTATCTGAGCATCATGTGCCCACCTCCCAAGATAGTGTTGGGTAGCAAGTCCCAGCATCCCCTCACCATTAGCTGTAGCTGGCTAGAGCTGATGGGAGTTTGAAATCCAAAAGCATCTGTAAGATTGCATGCTGCCTAGTCAAGCAGAAATCCCCATCTAGCTGAGAGTCAACATTTCTTCTGATATTGTGGTTAATGCTTCTTTTTAACCTCAGCATTCTCACTATACTTCAAACATTAATTCTGAAGGCAACTTGCTAAGAAAATTTCTCCCATCCAAGCTGATCAATGAGCCACTGTTGTTGGTTTTTCTTTTGGTTGGGGCTTATCATCCCATATTAACTAGAGTGATAGATACTAAATTGGGAAGCAAAAGCACTGATTTTTTCCCCCAGTTCATAAGAAAGCTACAGCTATAAACTTCTGAGTTCCAGCTGCTATAGGAAACTGAAAGCTCTCCTAGGAATTTAGTGCAACACAGCTCTGGGCAATCTAGAGCAGCTTTCCTCAGTCCTTTTACACTCTGCAAGAAGCTCTGAAATAATGTTCAGGGCTTAGGGAAGCTAAGCATGGTGCTTCAACAAAATACAAAGGCCAGGGTTTCATAGCACTGAGCCATGGCAGTTCAAGTGGAGGCAAACTGCATTAGTTCTACAATGAAGATGGTTGAGGCATCTTGATCTATAGCAGTGTTTCTTAACCTGGGGAGGGGGTCAGGAGGGGGTGTCAGAGGGATTGACAAAGACCATAAGAAAACACACCATTTTCAGTTGGTCATGGAGGTGGGAAGTCTGACCCAATTCTATCGCTGATGGGGTTCAGAATGCTTTTTGATTGTAGGTGACCTATAAATCCCAGCAACTACAACTCCCAAATGTCAAGGTCTATTTTCCCCAAACTCCACCAGTGTTCACATTTGGGCAAATTGAGTATTGGTGCCAAGTTTGGTCCAGATCCATCAGTGTTTGATTCCACAGTGCTCTCTGGATGTGGGTGAACTACAACTCCAAAACTGAAGGTCAATGCCCACCAAACACTTCTGGCATTTTCTGTTGGTCATGGGAGTTCTGTGTGCCAAGTTTGGTTCAATTCCAACATTGGTAGAGGAGTTCACAATGTTCTTTGATGGTAGGTGAACTATAAATCCCGGCAACTACAACTCCCAAGTAACAAAATCAACCCCCCCCCCCCCAGCACCACCAGTATTCAAATTTGAGCGTATTGGGTATTTGTGCCCAGTTTGGTCCAGTGACATCCTGCATATCAGATATTTACATGGCAATTCATAGCAGTAACAAAATTACAGTTATGAAGTAGCTACGAAAATAACATTATAGTTGGGGGTCACCACAACATGAGGAACTGTATTAAGGGGTCGCGGCATTAGGCAGGTTGAGAAGCACTGGTCTATAGTCTCCCTCTAATCTGCTTCAGTGTCAAGTGGGATCCAATGTACAAGGAAAGCCTCTGTCCACAGACATTAACATTATTGGTGAAGTGAGATGCTTGGACCCAACTCCCATTTTTGTAATGGACAGGCAAGTGGACCTATGTGTCTTGTTAAGATTCTCATATCCCATTACCACTGTTAAAGTTGATGAGCATGAATGGAAATTATAGCGCAACTCTTCCCTCATTTGAAGGGCTATTTTTTCCTATCTAAATACAAAAATAACTGCTTACCAGCTTTGCTATAATGAGTGCATCATTCATAAGATCCAGAAGAGGGGTCTCTGTATGAACATTGTAGAAGGAGTAAGCAGCTTTGAGGCTTTTATGGACAGGATGGTGCATGACTGTGGAAGGTAATGTATAGAAACTCAAGAAGTCGGTTAAAATACCATTAGAACCCTGCAAAGAAAAGACAACAATTAATAGTAAGAAATCCAAATGCATAAGGAAACTGGTTGGGCTTGGAAAAAACTACTATACTTTGGCCACAGATGTTAACCAATGAATCGATTAGGATTTTGTCAAACTATTTGCAGTTCCGCCAAATTGCAGGCTCCTTTTTCTTCTTATAACTACATTAATTCTGTACTATTTGATTTCACTTTAAGTAGGACTCTAAAGGCTGAACTTTGGATTTTCCTCAAAAATGGCACTGCAGTTTTTTTTTCTTGAAAAATGTAACCATATATATCACATCCACATACTTAGATGCTTGATATTTGGTTTTACTATTGTAATGCACTGGTATGTATATTCCATATAGTACCTTGATAACTGTGTACTATATGGAAGTCTAAAACCATTCCTTTGTCATAGTTTCCAGATGTTTTGTTACATGAGATCAGGTCCTGCCTATCTTCATGACCGCATCCTCCCTATGAACCAGTCCAGGCTTTAAGATCTGCTGGGGAGACCCTCCTTTCGGTTCCGCCACTGTCACAAGCACAGTTTGTGGGGAGGAAGGAGAGGGGCCTTCTCGGTGGTGACCTCTCAGCTTTGGAATGCCTTCCCCAGGGAGATAAGGCAGACCCTCACACTGTCCTCTTTTCATAGCGACTTGAAGATGTGGCTATTCGGACAAAATTTTGAGAACGCCTAGTCTCTAGTTCTATGCAACAGTCTCCCAGCCTTGCACTTTATCCCATGCCCTCTCTCCATTGTTACAGCTCTGCACTATCCCATTCCCTTGTCCTATTGTTTACAACCTGGCCATGTTTACAGCAGCTTACTGCCATTGGTTGACGAGCGCAGTTTTCTTGAGCTTTAGTTGATGCTTTATATGCATATGTGTTTTACTTATTGTATTTTGTACTGTGCTTGTTTTATGTTTTGTTTTTAGGCACTTTGTGCCGTGTGTAAGCCACCCTGAGTCCCTTCGAGGAGATGGTGGCGGGATACAAGAATAAAGTAGTTGTTGTTTTATGGTATTTAGGCATTTTTGTGTCTTCAGTATTTTTTTGTATTTTTCATATGTGTTAGTAGACTTGTCAACGCCAAAATAACAATAATAATAATAATAATAATAATAATAATAATTATAGATAATTGATGTTGCAATCCCAGGCAACAACAGGATTGATGAGAAGCAGCTGGAAAAGCTTACATGATATGAGAATTTAAAGATAGAACTGGAAAGACTCTGGAACAAGCCAGTCAAGGTGGTCCCAGTGGTGATAGGCAAACTGAGTGCATTGTTTTGGCCTACTCTTAAAAACAATCGGCACTGACAAAATTACCATCTGTCAGCTGCAAAAGGCCACCCTACTCTGATCTACATGCATTGTTCACCAATACATCACACAATCCTAGACACTTGGGAAGTGTCCGATGAGTGATCAAATACAAAAGCCATTTTATTTATATCCTGCTTTATCTCCCTGAGAGAACTCAGGGCAGTTTCCAACAAAGGATCACAAACATTCAATGCTATAAAACAATACAAAATGAACAAATAGCCCCATGGATAAAATCTATGACAAACTATAACAGCTACTCAAAGTTTAAATAATTAAATAAAACATATAAATTGATTAAACTTACTAATCAGTTTTGAAACAATTAAACCACTATCTTTTTTTGTTCACTTTTAGATGATCAAAAGTTTTTTGTCTCCAGACTAAAGAGTTCTTCACTATGCCTGAATACAGGCAATGCAAACATTTAATTAAAACACTTTATGAAATGATACAATGCACTCAAATTAGGGGAAAGGCAAGCTCCTGGGGAACAGCAGCCAGGAAAAGAGAGTGGGAGTGTGCCTCACCTCTACAACAAACGTGTCAATAATATGATCCTGAGGCAGGAACCAGTGGGCCACTTCGTCTTCATCCATAAAAGGAGCAAGGTGAAACTGCTTCAAGTAATTGTTAACTAATTCTTGCACCGCTTTTATATCTTTCCGTTCCATTGGTCTCAAACCAGAAGTTTTTGTGGCCTTGGCATAATGGAAAAGATCAGAACATTTAAAGAGCAGTTATATATGCAGAAAATCGTTCTTTAAAAACACAAAAGAGTATTCAAAGTTTGGAGCAAACATTTCCATCTTCCGGGTAACAGGCTTTTTGCAACTCTTGCAGGACCAAATGTTGGACTTTATCTCTCCTCATCTCCAATCTTAGATGGGGATGACTGGATTGTAGTCCAAAACTCCTGAAGGGGAAGAGTTGGCAGAAGACTGCACTAGAATAGGAGTTGGCAAAACTGGAAGTCATTCTTTAGTTCTTAATCCTAACCGGGTCACACTGTCATCATTTTTGGGAATCAATATGGAAGTTCTAATCACAGGTGATTCTTAAGGGCAGTTTCCTGCAGCTTCAGAGGGTTGGGACATAATGAAAAACTGTCCCATAGAGTAAATTGTTTGCTATGAATTGCTTCTGAAATGTGTACAATGTGAACTTGGGGGCTGACTGATCTACCATGCTGATCAAAATGCATTCCCCCAGGGCCTCAATGCCATTGACTCGCAACAGTGGATGGAATCAGTATGGAATATTAGTTTAAGAACTCAACTCAAATAAAGAAAATGCAGAACAACAAAACAACAGGACATAATTTTACACAAGTATAGCATTGCTTTGTTGTTTTCTGAATAAGGATTTAGCCTTATGAGGCTTTTCAGCATTAGAAATCAGTATTAAAACCAAATATGGTTCTTCATCCCAGTTGGGAAACATATAATAGGGTTTCAACCTAAGGTTTCAGACACAGACATGCCTGTCAGTGAGTAGATTGAAGGGCTAACTCAAGAAAAACATGGTGGGAGACATACAGGGATAGTTGGGTTGTTGAACTCCTACCCAACATCCTCTAAAGTAGTCTGTCATGCTGCTTAATGCCATCTTGTTGCCAATACAATGCCACCTCCCAGTATCAATTTGGGCAGGACTTCTTGAGCTTTTCCACTTGCAACTCCTTTATGCCTGAGAAATTTTTACATGACTTTGAGAATATATGTATTTAAAATACATATATAAACCAAACATCTTAGTGATAATGCTGACATTGTACTATGCTAGTAATATAATATATTATAGAATCATAGAATCAAAGAGTTGTAAGAGATCTCATGGGCCGTCCAGTCCAACCCCCTGCCAAGAAGCATTCGAATCACCCCTGACAGATGGCCATCCAGCCTCTGTTTAAAAACTTCCAAAGATGGAGCCTCCACATATATTATATGTAATATATACCTTGTAAGCCGCTCTGAGTCCCCTTCGGGGTGAGAAGGGCGGCATATAAATGTCGTAAATAAATAAATAAATGATAACACAACAGTATTTGCAAGGTTTGCTAAACAGGCTGATTCCCCTTTCTATGAAGTACAGTTGAAGCATCTTTTGCAGCTCCCACTTTGAACTCTGCACAACACCTTCATGTAAATGATTACACCCATTTGGGGTCAGAACCCCCAATTTTAAAAAGCAGTGGATTAGGGTTTGGTTCCAGAGCCCTCCATGGAAGCTAAAATCCATTAATATTATATAAGGATGTCCCGTATATGAAATGGTAAATATTAACTCCAACGATCCCCTCTTTAAAAGTAGTATTTTCCAACCGTAGTTGCTATTTCAATGTTCCTTGAGCAGGAAAGTTTTGCCTTCCCAAAATAAAAAAGCTTGCCTTGTCAGAGAATGACAGAGGCTATTTTAGGCCTCACTTTGACAATGAAGGTCCTCTGAGTAGAGACATTGCTTACATCAGGAAGTCTGTAGAGTTTCATTGTTCTCTGTAGAGTCATATTTCTACTCAAATGAGAAAATTTCACCTCTACCAATTTCCTAGGATTCAATGATCGATGCCAGTACCTGGAATTAAAAAGCATTTATTTTTTTTAAAAATCCTCATCAGTCTCATTCAGTAACAATCCCTGAAGAACAATATCTCAGTTTTCTTTTCAAGGAAAATTAACTTGTGACATTTAGCAGGTCAATTTAAGATAAAATATTGCTATACAATTTGGAAGGGATCCAGAATGTTGATTTTGCTTGGCTGAAATCTGTCTTGTTTCCACATAAGAGGCCAATCCAATTTCAAAGCTTTCCAATGTAAACTGGAATCACATCGCACTTCTGTCACTGCATCCCACTGAAAATCAAATGAGAATGTCAGGAGCGACTTGAGAAACTGCAAGTTGCTTCTGGTGTGAGAGAATTGGCCATCTAAAAGGACATTGCCCAGGGGACACCTGGATGTTTGATTTTTACCATCCCTGTGGGAGGCGTCCCTCATGCCCCCACATAGGGAGCTGGAGCTGACAGAGGGAGTTCACCCGTTCTCCCCGGATTCAAACCACCGACCTGTCGATCAGCAGTCCTAGTTAACTGGTACAGAACTGTAGCTTCAGTTCTCCATTAAGGGTTTAACATATTTCTTCTGTTCTAAGGCTCAATCTTCCCCATATAAATATTTCAAAATATATGCCCTAGAATTTCAGCTACTTTTTATATTTTGATTTCCTCTTTGATGGAGAGGAACAGGATATAAGCCATCATAAAGAAGTCCTTTCTGTAGCCAAATAGAAGTCTAAATAGAAGAAGAAGAAAATGATGATAATGATAATAATTAAAGGTTACCCCTTGAAGTTAAGCCTAGTTGTGTCCGACTCTAGGGGTTGGTGCTCATCTCCATTTCTACGTCCAAGGGCTGGAGTTTGACATAGACATCTCCTAGGTCATGTGACTGGCATGACTGCATGGAGCACTGTTACCTTCCTGTTACCTATTTATTTACTCACATTTTCAAACTGCTAGGTTGGCAGAAGCTGGGGCTAACAGTGGGAGCTCATGCCACTCTTTGGATTCTAACCACCGATCTTTCAGGTCAGCAAGTTCAGCAGCTCTGTGCTTTAACCCATTGTGCCACAAATAATGAGCCTAGTCAATATTTAATATTAGGTAGGTTTTTTCGGTCGTATTTTTAATATATTTTTAAACATTTTGTGCTTTTAAAACCACAAAATGTATAAAAATATATTAAAAATATTAATTCTCAACCCAAACCGTAAAACAGCAAGTCCGTGGGAAGCGAATCGCGAAACAGCGAGGGAACACTGTACAATGTATAGCATTTTTAGCATGCATATTAATTTCACGCTAATAGATTGGCAGTCCTTTTTTCGCAACAACTCTATTTCAGTAAACATGACTGTATAGTCCCATGATGGCGAACCTATGACACGTGTGTCAGCACTGACACGCGTAGCCATTTTCGATGACACACAGCCGCATGCGGCCGCATACAGAGAAGATGGGGCTGCATCCCAAGAAGGATATTTCATCCTCAGCTCCTAGACCAGCATTTTTCTATAATGCTGAGATATATGGCATTATAGAAAAAGCAGGGAAGTTAAATAATTAGTTTTTGGTTTATTAAAAACAGTTATATATTACAATAATAAATTTTTGTTATTAAACTATAAACATCATGAAATTATGTTTTTTTTCTCAAAGTGACACCCCACTTGAGTTATGCTCGTTTTTTTTGGCGAGTATTGACACACCAAGCTCAAAAGATTGCCCATCATTGGTATAGTCTAATGCTGCCACCATGTGGTGATTCAGCTCTAGAGTGATCTTTCTTAAAGAGAAAAAGGTGGAAGCAAGGAATCGACAAAACAACGGATTCTACAACTATCATAAAATATCAACAGACAAAAGAAACAATATGGAAACCTCTTAGAGAACAAATAAATCGATCGCACCAAATGACTGTGGCCAGAAAGTAACACATATTTCAGAAAACCCTTTTGTTTACCTGCAAGTTGCTACAGGCTTGGGAAGTACAACGCCTGCAGTGTAAACTGCCTGAAAAATCCCTTCCAAGTTGACTCTCCGGGTTATTTCACGTATCAGGACGGGTGCTACTCGTTTAGATCTCAGCTTTTTATGTACACACAGAAAATTAATTTCTACCATTTTCTTCTCACTAGGAATAAAAAAGTTTTATGTCACAAATTCAGTTGTGGAAAACCCCACATGTTCATGTACTTGAGAGAAATAAAATACCAACTCTTTTTAGAATGAGTTGCTCTAAGAGTAGCATTACAAACTAAAAGAGAAAGTCAGTAATGACATATGCAAGGCAGGCTTTCTCTTATGTATACGCAATGGATAAAGTCCCTGAATACTGGGGACAGAAAGAAGAAACTGAACTCTATTCTTAAAACTCTGCCTCTAGTATCCTAATATTACCTTAAGAGAGTTGCTGGATGTCTCAACTATCCAACTCACACAAATGCTGACTACAAAAATTAAGTTTCAGAAGTTGGAAACACAAGGTACTGGCACTTCCATAATTCAGTATCCATCTACATTGTTGAATTAATACACTTGGACACCACTTTAACTTCCGTGACTCAATGCTATGGAATCATAGGATTCGTAGTTTGGTGAGACACCAACACCACATTTTGACAGAGAAGGCTAAAGACCTTGTAAAACTACAGCTCCCATGGTTCCACAACACAGAGAAATAAGGATAGGTTCACGTTATGGTCGCTACTGAATGGAAATGTAATACAATATAATACTAATAATAAAATATTATATATTACATGTAATATTACTAATAATATTAAAGTTTAGTGGTATAGTACAATATAGTAATATATAATACTAATATTGTGCTATGATAATAATATATTGTATGTATATAATATATTGATTTTAATGTTATAATACAATATGATATAATACTAATAATGCAATATAATAATATAATAATTATATATTACACATAATATTACTAATAATATTGCATTATAGTGGTATAGTACATTATAGTAATATGTAATACTAATATGCTATGCTAATCATATAATATATTGTATATACATATAATATTGATCTTAATGTTATAATGCAATACAATATAATACTAACAATACAATATAATAATATAATAATTATATATTATATATTACATGTAATATTACAAATAGTATTGCATTATAGTGGTATAGTAAATTATAGTAATATATAATACGAATATTGGCTACGCTAATAATATAATATATTGTATATACATATAACTTGTAAGCTGCTTTGAGTCCCCTTCGGGTGAGAGAGAGCAGGGTATAAAAATAGTAAATAAATGACCTGAAGACACACAATAACAATAAATGTGCCCTTTGCAGAACATGTGCTCCGTTAAAGCACGTTATGGCCACATCTGTAATCCTGAATGATTCCAGGTATAACACACAACAACAACAACAGGTATATAAACAAAAATATAATTTGAAATCTTGGCTGGAATTCATTTAGGGATATATAAACACTTAAGTTAGAGCTTTTCAAACTGTGTCGTGACATATCACTGTGTTCACTGCAGTGTATAGGAGTGTCACACAAATGTTACAGGAAACCTCTGATTCTATGTGACGTAAGCAATTCCAATGTGCATGCATTATTATGCAGCTAAGATGCCAATTACTGTTCGTAACATTATTAGTTTATTATTACTAAATGACAAAAAATCTTAGAAATGGATACAATTAATTTACAAATCATACATTTTTAAAAATATATAAATGAAAGGATTTCATGAGATATTGTGCATCCCATACAGTTCTTTATTGCAATTTATGTATGTTTCTGTATCTCTCACAAGGGGTTGCTTTAACCTCTGGTTAGCTAGTAAAACTGAATTACTGTGTCAATAAATGATGTATGTCTAAAAGGTGTGTCACCAACATGAAATGTCTGGAAAACTCTGACTTAGGTCATACCACCTATGTAGAGTCAAAAAGGCCATGTTGCACAACCATGTTATATCTTTTTCTTTCTTTCTTTCTATCCCTGACGACAGGGCTTACCTTTCATAAATCCGAATGTGGGCAGGGATGGCACTTATGAATCCCACCAACTTTCTATTGGATGATACCCTGACTCCACAGTGCCACTGCGGAAGCCAGCCTGGAGGCCGCAAGGCCCTGGAAGCAATGAAAGAGGAAGAAAATTAGAAAAAAAAATATAGAACATTTCTGAAATACAAGACAGACCTGATATCTAGTGGGAACACAAGAGAGGGTATAATTAATGGCTGCCCCTAAGTCAGTGGTTCCCAAACGTTTTTTGACCAGGGATCACTTGACCAGGGACCACCTTTGACCAGGGACCACTCTCTGACATTAGTACCAAAAGGGTTACAAATCTGTTTTTAGTCAACTTTAGTTTTGGTTTGATTATTTGGGGTGCTGATTCAGAAAATTATGTTGAACAGACCACATCAGCTCTAGTTTCTGATACAAAACATATGCCATCCAGTCATCGCCATCTGCTTGCCCACAGAAAACCATATTTAATAATCTAGAGCTGATGTGGTAGTAGTAATCCGTATCTCCTGCCATGAACCATCTCGGGCCCTCCGATCCTCCGGGGAGGCCCTTTTCTCGCCCCTGCCAGTCTCCCAAGCTTGTCTAGTGAGTACAAGGGAGAGAGCCTTTTCCGCTGTGGCTCCCTGACTCTGGAACTCACTGCCTGGAGAAATTCCGCTGTGGCTCCCTTCCCTTCAGGTCTTCAAAAAGAACCTTAAAACCTGGCTCTTCCGCTGCGCCTTTGATAAGTAGGTATATAATCCCACATGATTGCTCTGACTCAAAGTTCTGTCATTGGAGTATACGTCACCCCCCATGGGAAAGCTTGCTTCCACAGCTCCCGCTGGAATGAGCCCTCCTCTGTAAATTACCTGCTTCCCTCTTTTATCTCACCTGACTTTTTAATTAATTTTAATCAGTTTGTCTTCTTGATTACTACATGTTGCCCGCCCATTATACTGCCTGTGCTTAATTTTTATTTTTCATATTGTTATGTAATCATGTGTTTTATTTAATTATGATGTTATTGGGTTGTTAGGTTTTTCCGGGCTATATGGCCATGTTCTAGAGGCATTTTCTCCTGACGTTTCGTTTCAGGAGAAAATGCCTCTAGAACATGGCCATATAGCCCGGAAAAACCTATAACAACCCAGTGATTCCGGCCATGAAAACCTTCGACAATATATATGATGTTATTGTTTATTGTTCGCGTTTTCAGTTTGTGTTTTTGGTTTTCTTTATTGTAATTGTCATTTGGGCTTGGGCTCATGTAAGCCGCTCTGAGTCCCCATTGGGGAGATGGTGGCGGGGTAACAAATAAAGTTTATTATTATTATTAATTATAATCTTTCGTAGGTAGTCAGCCTCTCCCCTCCTGACATCCCCGTTGCCTCGGCACTATAAGAGGGTTTCACGAGACCAGTATCTCTTGTTGCCGCATGGTTTCAAGGCAATGGTGTAGTAATGGTGAGACCGTGGACCATTCTTGCGCACCACTGGTGGTCCATGGACAACAGGTTGGGAACCACTGCCCTAAGGTCTGAAACTCTCTTTCCAGACAAGTTAGATTAACACTGTCACTATTGTACTGATTTTTTTTAGACATATAAATGCTTTTCTATTCTGACAGGGATTTAATATGTGACAATACATGTCCGCTTACAAAAAGTGCTGGATATTACGAATTGGTGTATGTGTTCAACGATATATGTTTATATTTGCTTTTAATTTTTGATTTCATCTTTTGTGTCTTGTTGGTTTTTTTTATTAATTTGTATTCAAAAATAATGGAAAAATAAAAGCAAACAGAAGCAATAAACTATAACAACGAACACAACTGTATCTAAGGCTGGATCTACACTGCCATATAATCATGATTATCAAATCAAATCCAGATTATCTGATGCCATATAATCCAGTCCAAAGTACATACTCTGGATTTTATATGACTGTGTAGATGGGGCCTAAGATACTCAGCCTACAGTAATAAACACATTCCAGACATATGACTACTAGGACTAATCTATAAACTTCATTGCCTCTTGGTTTTTAGTTCCTACTAGCCATCCCCTGCCATGCGTTGCTGTGGCCCAGTCTGTGTATATGTGTTTTGCGTGTATATATTTGTGTATATGTGTATATATCCATTTTTGTATATATACATGGTTTTGCACATGCGTTGTAATGTTTTTGGGTTTTTTTGCTTTTTAAGTCTCTTCTGCTGTGTTTTTCAGTGTTTTTATGAGGGATGATCACTCGTTGGCCTGATAGGTGTATTGTGTCCAAATTTGGTGTCAATTTGTCCAGTGGTTTTTGAGTTATGTTAATCTCACAAACGAACATTACATTTTTATTTGTATAGATTTTATTACACCCTTAAATAACCCTATATGTCTGCTCTTCTGCTTTTAATAACGCTAAATCATAAATCTAATAGTTGAAGTTTGTCTCCATCTTTACTGTAAAAAATGATAAATAAGTCCCAATCTTTTGAAAAGTTAGTCAAGGATTTCTCCTGAATCAGTATCATCAATATGTCCATCTCAGGCCCCTTCCACACTGCCATATAAAATCCAGATTATCTGCTTTGGACTAGATTATACGGCAGTGTAGACTCATCTAATCCAGTTCAAAGCAGATAACGTGGATTACCTGTTTTAAAGATCTGGATTATGTGACAGTATAGAAGGGGGCCTCAGTTAATTCACAAATCTTAGCTATTTTGGTGGATTTCTGACAATGTCTTTTTAATTTCTCTAAGTCAGTTTGAATACCAATGTGGGGAAAGGATGGATAGAAATAAATAAATATCATAATAATATATAGAAAAATATATATAAATTTGCAGGAGCTCTAAAAATATTTAAACCAATGGCTGCAGTAATCTGGGGTCCTACAAATGGTTTTGGATTGCAGTTCACGTCATCATTCATTCTTGGTGATGTTGTCTGATGGGTTGTGCAATGCAAAACCTTTGGAAGACCATATATTTCAAATGTTGGTTTTAAAAACAAAAGCAGTGTGTTCCTTTCCCACAGTCTAAAATACATGGCAGGAAAAGAAAAAAGGGCAGGAGAGGGAATGGGGAAAATGAGAGCTGACAAATACTAAATCTTTACTGTTTACAATTTTAGACACATGGAATTGTTTACTCACCACAAGAGAAATTCTGGGGAATAGTCGAACCTAAACATATTATCATCATCTTCTACATAGTTTTCATTTAGCAGCATGTATAATTCTTTTAGCTGGAAAAAAATAAATATTATTAAAGCATAATAATAATAATAATAATAATAATAATAATAATAATAATAATACACTTTATTTATATTCCACCCTTCTCCCCTAGGGAACTCAGAGTGGATTACAGTATTTACACACATAGGCAAACATTCAATGTCTTTACAATCATATACAATGACACACAAATGCAAACAAAGGCAGAGGCTTCTCCTTTCATTTCCGGCCTCTGGAGGTGGTGCCAATTTCTGGCTCTGGGGAGGTGATTTCTCCATTTTCAAGTTGAGGAGCCTGTTTTGTCACCTCCTGGTTGTGTTGCTGGCAAGATTGCTCTTTGCCTTTTCTCACCGAAGCGATACCTATTTATCTACTCACATTTGCATGTTTTCTAACTGCTAGGTTGGCAGGAACTGGAGCTGACAGATGGGAGCTCACCTCATCTTGCGGATTCGAACTGCCAACCTTCAGGTCAGCTGTTCAGCCAATCTTCAGGTCAGCAGTTCAGCAGCACAAGAGTTTAACCCATTGCGCCACCACGGCTCCTCACATGAGCTTGTTAATTGGAATGCCTTATTTACTTTAACCTCAATGGAAACCTTTGCAAACTGCGTGCATGAAGCCTCAAACTGAAATAAAGGAGGGGAAATGTATTACCTTTCTGATGTTGTGGGACTGCCACTCTCATCAGCCCACAAATATTGGATAAGCTGACTAGGAATACATCTACACTGTAGAATTAATGCAGTTTAATGCCACTTGAACTGCCATGGCTCAATACTATGGAATCCTGGGATTTGTTGTTTGGTGAGGCACCAGCACTTTGACAGAGAAGGCTAAAGGCCTTTGAAAACTAAAACTCCCATGGGTTGCTGTGAGTTTTCTGGGCTATATGGTCATGTTCCAGAAGCATTCTCTCCTGACATTTCGCCCACACCAATGGCAGGCATTCTCAGAGGTTGCGAGGTCTGTCTAGGCAAGTGGGATTTATATATCTGTGGAATGTCCAGGTTGGGAGAAAGAACTCTTGTCTGTTTGCGGCAAGTGTGAATGTTGCGATTGGCCACCTTGATTAGCATTGAATAGCCTTGCAGCTTCAAAGCCTGTCTGCTTCCTGTCTGGGGGAATCCTTTGCTGGGAGGTGTTATCTGGCCCTACAACTCCTAGGATTCCATAGCACCAAGCCTTGATATACTAAGTAATGTCAAACTGCATTAATTCTACAGTGTAGCTACACTCTAGGACGAGATTGCAATTCACCATAGTTCAGAGGACCATGTGTTTCCCATCCTCACAATGTGTGTTTCCCACTTGTTTTCAAGGACTACTGACAATTCTACTTACAACTTCGGCATTACTCAAATCCAAAGTGTCCCATGTAAAACCCTGCGGTAACGAATATGGCTCTAAACGGATGTTGTCCTTATCTGGTTCAATTGCACCATGAGATGTTATAACTTCACCTGGTACGAAAAGAAGGCAAAATTACACTGCATGTCAGTCAGGTTTGTTTTCGTTTTTAAAAAAATAATTATTTCTGGAGAGAGAGTTATTGAATAAATATGAGATGGAAAAGGTTTTGATATAGCCCTCAGGTTAACTTTGGATAAACTTTATTCACTTCATTATTTTCTTACTGGAAATGAGAAAATTCCTATGCATATGATTAATGTATCAGCATGGAGTAGTGGTTTGAGTGTTAGACTAGGACTTTGGAAGCCTGGAAATGCATCTACACAGCAAAATTAATGCAGTTTGATATTACTTTAACGGCCATGGTTGAATGCTATGGAATCCTGGGAGTTGTTGTTTTGTAAGGCACTAGAACCCTTTAGCAGAGAAGACTAAAGACTTTGCAAAGCGACAACTCCACAACACCAAGCCAAGTGATGTCAAACCGCATCAATTCTACAGTATAGAAGCATCCCAAGATTCTAATTTCTGCTCTTGCATGTAAACTCACTTGGTGATTGTGAGCATGTCCCACTCTCTCAGTCTCAGAGGAAGGCAGTGGAAAAACCATTCTAAACAAATAATTTTTGAAGTAAATCCCACGATAATTTAGCCTTAGAGCAGTGGTTCTCAACCTTCCTAATGCTGTGACCTCTTAATACAGTTCCTCATGTTATGGTGCCCCTCAACCATAAAATTATTTTTGTTGCTACTTCATACCTGTAATTTTGCTACTGTTATGAATTGTAATTTAAATATCTGATATGCGGGATGTATTTTCATTCACTGGACCAAATTTGGCACAAATACTCAATATGCCCAAATTTGAATACTGGTGGGGTTTGGAGGGGATTGTTTTTGTCATTTGGGAGTTGTAGTTGCTGGGATTTATAGTTCAACTACAATCAATGAGCATTCTGAACCCCAACAACAACAGAATTGGGCCAAACTTCCCACACAGAACTGCTATGCATTGAAGGAACTCGTAGGCATAGGTTTCCCTCCAGCCTTGCACGCTCTCCCTCACACCATGCTGCCATGCCAAGCGCACCTGCTCTCCCCTCTCTCTCTTGAGAGTCTCAGAAACAGCCCTCCCCTTGGCTGAGAGGCTGGCCAATCATAGCCAAGGAGAGCTTTTGGTGGGAGGAATCACCATCTGTTTCCAAAAAGTAAGAGAAGGACAGCTGGAGAGATCTTCAGCTTCTCTGCCAAAGGGGTTCCTAAGACCATCAGAAATATGTGTTTTCTGATGGTCTTTAGCAACCCCTCTGAAACACTGCCTTAGAGTTACCATACATCAGAAACCTGATCACACACGCATTGAATGGGCAAAACAGTGTTTTATGATCAAACTATCCCCATATTCTCATTGTATATTTTCTTTTTATGGTTCATATATACTATAAGGAAAGGCAACAGTGAGGATCCCCAAACCTCCACCTGCCTTAACCTCCCTAGAGAGTGCTTGGTAGTATTAATATCAGGTAGCATCATACTTCACGTACAGAATTAGGAAAAATATTTTTGGACAATAACTCAACAAACACGGAATGGCTTAAACTATGTAAATGGATAAGGAGTTGAACTGGAAGATGTTGATTATTATAGTTTTAATGGTTTTTATACAGATTTTATTATGTGACTTAATTGTTTTTAACTGATGTATGTATGTATGTTGTGGCATCTAATTGTTGTCAGTCTGTATGCCGCCCTGAGTTGCCTTCGGGCTGAAAAGGGCGGGATAAAAGTGCCGCAAATAAATAAATAAACTCCCAGAATCCTCTGGTGACAAATGCTGACTGGGGGGTTGTAGTTCAAAAAAGCAATACTTCCAAGCTCTGTTCAAGAACGCAAAGAAATGGTACACAGTAAAATTCAGAATTATTCAGGCTTCCAAACACATATCTATACTAGCTGGAGCATTCTGATATTTGTTGTCCAAAAAAGTAACTTTTCTAATGAAAAGAGGTGGATTGCAGCGAGTAATATGGTCTTTTTGGTTTGAGCTCTGATGATGAATTTCTTTCTACTGCTAAGTTTTCCTGGCATGCATTCTGATGACATTTTGATTTCAAGCAAAGCCATTTCCCCTGAATTTTTAATATCTAATAAACCTTCTGTTGATTTAACCTTGTTAAGATTTTATCAGGTTTTTTAAAACTCTGTAAACCACTCTGCAAATATTTGAAGGGTTATATATAAAATGTCAGGCAAATGAAACCGATAAAGATCCTTTCATATCTGAATCATAGTTTTTAGACTTACTAAGTTTGGGCACAGGCTGCGTATCCCAAAACTGGTATTTACGTTTGGTTGCTTCGTCAATGTTCTTTGCTGGTCCCTGGCAAGCCGAGAGGAGTTCCATGGCTCTCTGAATGTCTTGCAGCTTCTGCATTGGAATGGCTGGATTCTGCATCAAAAGCCAGAAACATAGGTACAGTTACAGGAAGAATCGAAACTCAGAGGTGCTCTTTTAACACCCAAAAAAACCCAAGAAATTTAATAAATTAAAAAACACAACTCATTCCTCCCTTCCTCAAGAAAAAGAGGCTATTAAATTATAATAATATATACTTCTGTTCAACTTCGCTGCATTTTTGCTTCTGCTAAATATAAAAGGTAAACGTTTCCTTCCCCTTGATATTAAGTCTAGTCGAGTTCGACTCTGCAGGGTGGTGCTCATCTCCATTTTGAACCTGAAGAGCCGGCGTTGTCTGTAGACGCCTCCTAGGTCATGCAGCTGGCATGACTACATGGAGCACCATTACCTTCGCACTAAAACGGTAACTATTGATCTACTCACACTTGCATGTTTTCAAACTGCAAGGTTGGCAGAAGTTGGGGCCAACAGCGGGAGCTCACCCTATCCCACGGATTTGAACCACTGACCTTCTGGTCAGCAAGTTCAGTAGCTCAGCATTTTAACTCACTACGCCACCGCAGCCCCATAGACACACACACACACACACACACATACACACACATACATATACTGTCGCACCTCAGAGTAGATTCACCTTGCTGAAAACACCAAACTGCAAACAGCCAGAAGACTTTAAAGTTTATAAAAAATAAAAGGTAAAATGTTCTTGAAGGCAAAGGTAATGTTCCAAAAGATCAATACAAAATAACACTTTGAAGATTAATCCAAAAAGGCACCAGCAAAGCAAAAACCCAAGAAGACATGACAAAGTCCTGAAACCATGAACACAAGAACTGCAAGATAATCCAGACAAGCAAAGGCAAGCTTCTTGGTTAAACGAAAAGTTGCCTTGACAAAGGTTTGGTCCCAAACACACTGCTTAATACTCTTTGCAAAACATGAAGGCGTTTCTTTGGCCTCTGGCATCCTTCTTGTTAGCTATTCTCACACTCCTTTGAACTCTGAATTCCAAACGGTCAGCCCGATCTAAGGTTCCCATTTCGTCAAGGTCAGTCTGTTCGTTAGTATCAGCCTGTTTCCCTTCCTGCTCATTATCAGACTGAGAACTATCCTCCTTCTCTGAATCAATCTGTACCTGCACCTGGCTATTTTCAGTATCAGCACTCTCATTCCTTGCTGTGGGAAACTGCACTTCTTCGCTGTCCATAACAGGGACATTTTGAACCAGACTGTGAACCTGAGTCCCATCATCCTCATCAGAGACACTCTGTGGTTCCAGCTGAGTCACAACATATACACAGACATATATACAGGCAGTCTCCAAGTTACAAACATCCAACTTACAAATGACTCATAGTTAAGAATGGGGGAGAGACAACAAGAAGTGAGAGAAATCTTCCCATAGGAAGGGAGATGCACTCCTCAAAGAGTTTTCATGGGGAAAAGATGTCTCTACTGAAGCTTTCTCACCAATCCTTGTTTTCACAACAAGCCAAATTTTTCAAAATCCAATTATCACAGGAAGAGAACATGAGGTGAAATTTTCTGAGACAGCAAAAGAAACACCACAGGAGTGTTAACCCTTCCCTATGCTATCCAAATCGTGCATCTATCTATCTATTACACTAAACCAGGGGTCCTCAAACTAAGGCCCGAGGGCCAAATACGGCCCTCCAAGGTCATTTACCTGGCCCTCGCTCAGGGTCAATCTAAGTCTGAAACTACTTGAAAACACAAAACAACAACCCTATCTCATCAGCTGGGCCACACTTCCCATTGAAATACTAATAACTTTATATTTGTTAAAATTGTTCTTCATTTTAATTATCGTATTGTTTTATAGTGTTTTCTGCACTACAAATAAAATATATGCAGTGTTCATAGGAATTCATTCATGCTTTTTTCAAATTATAATCCGGCCCTCCAACAGTTTGAGGGACTGTGACCTGGCCCTCTGTTTAAAAGGTTTGAGGACCCCTGCACTAAACAATGTACCTGTTCCGATTTACATACAAATTCAACTTAAGAACAAACCTACAGAACCTATTTTGTTCATAGCTTGGGAACTGCCTGTATATATGTGTGTATATGTACACACACACAACAACAACAAAATCATGGAAATACTAATATAAATAATTTAACCATTTTGACTTAAATTCAATTCTTGTAATTGAAGGGAGATCATTTCGGCAGTGATGATCCCTTACACAGGATCATCCCTTACACAGGAAAAGCCTGGCTGCTTCCTGCCTGGGAGAATCCTTTCCCTTACACAGGAAAAAAAGTATTTATTTTTTACTCTGACAGAACTCTCAATTTGTTTATCCCAGTCCCTTCTCAATATTCTTATTACACTAATAGAAAATTATCCATTTACATTTAACGTGTTTCTCCCATTTAAATAAACTCTTGTACATTTTACGTAGGCTGCAGCCATACACATTACTGATTGGAATGCAAAACTTATGACATGTGCAGGACTATAGCCAGTGGGGGTCATTCACATCACAACATGGGAATGAGTGGACAAAGTGCAGGAAAGGTATTTCAGGTAAGCCCTGCATTTTTGGATGCCTTGGGAGCTATGTACCACGACTGGGCAAAAGGCCTGCTCTGTTATGGAAGAGGCCTTCATTCCCTCTCTTCTGCAAACATGATTGCTGTTGGATTCAAATAGGGCGAGCTCAACTACTGGACAAAATGTGGCAGGAGCCTCTCAACTGTTAGTAAGGAATCATCCATTTTTTAAAATGTCTTTCAATGGGGAAAAAAATAAAAAGTAAGTGTTCCTTCCCATCAAAATCAAAACTGCAGTTGAGATGCAAAGAACTTAAAGCTCTTCCTTGCTTGGATCTCAGTCCATTTCGTTCTTCACTCCAGTACTGATCTTTACTTCTAATAGTCACCCATTCACAACAATTTGCAGTATTCATCACAGTCTTGCATTCTGTAGAGTTCTAAAGGTAAAGGCTTTCCCCTGACACTAAGTCCAGTCGTGTCCAACTCTGGGCGTTGGTACTCATCTCCATTTCTAAGCTGAAGAGCCGCCGTTGTCCGTAGACACCTCCAAGGTCAAGTGGCCAGCATGACTGCATGGAGCGCCATTTCCTTCCCGCCGGAGCGGTACCTATTGATCTACTCACATTTGCATATTTTGGAATTGCTAAGTTGGCTGAAGGTGGAGCTGAAAGCGGAAGCTCACGCTGCTCCTTGGATTCGAACCTGCGACCTTTCGGTCAACAAGTTTAGCAGCTCAGCGGTTTAACCCACTGCGCCACCAGGGGCACACCATTTAAAGATACCCAAATCTTTTTGGCAGACTAGAAACTGAGACACATGTGTTTATATGAGGCTAGAAATGCATATGGCAGTCACTGTTAGCATTACAACTGCTCTTAACTGGAGCTGTTGTTAATACCTTAAGTATCCACATCAATGTAATGGTAAGAAGGAAGGTTGGGGACCCATGGTCCTCCACAACAGGATTACACTTCCACCACAGCCGGAGATGAGGAATTATGGAAGCTGAAGTTCAAAATCATCTGCAGTGTCAGAAATATTAAAAACGAACTAGGTATTTCGAATTACAAACATGTGAGTTAAGCACTGAAAGGGTTAAATGAATGCATTAACTCAGCAAAAGCTGCAGTTCTATATAAGCATGTGTGTCTGTAGCTTAGTAGCCATTCTGAGGTAAACCTCAGTGGGAGAAAGGCCTCAGTTTGTGAGAAGGTCTCACAGTACCAGGTAAGCCTTGAGAAGGCCTCACAGTGTGAAGTAAGCCTTAGTCTATGAGAAGGCCAAGTGTGATAATGCCTGGTGTGAGAAGCTTCAGTGAAAGAAGCAGCAGGTTAAAGGCCTCGTGTTAAAGGCTACTGTGTGAAGCTCCAGTATAAGTTCTTTGTGAGAAGAGGCTCTGTGAGAGTGAAGCTGTTTTTCTACATGAGGAAGAAGCCCAGCATGGAAACAAAGAAGGAAGCATAAAGGACTTTATTTGTGTTGTAGAAACCTTGTTTTGTAAATAGTGCACATATATTATTTTCTAGGAAAAAAAAACACCTATGGAAGAGATAACATTGTTTTTTGTTTTTTTATCAGTTTGGGCTACTGGTGCTGGGCCAAGCTGCTGGTAAGTTACTCTGCTGTACATTTATGAGGAGGGTCTGTTGTGAATAAGCCCACTCACCCAACATGCAGGACCAAAATCACTTCAACTTACTGTAGGGCAGGGGGGAAGCCACCTCCTTCACGTTTTATGGCAATCGCTTTCTCAATTCTTGTTATTACCACAATGCACAATTATAACTTCTGGATGCTTTAACTCCCATGGTTCCATTCCATGGAAACCTTGGAGTTCTAGATTTGACTTTAGAATTCTCTGCTAGAGAGTTCTCGTATCTCAATTCATTATTTCACCATTGTTAAAATGAGATTAAAGTTACCTGCTCCCAAGAGCTTCCTTTAAAAACAGCTGTGAGAGAACTGATGGTAAAAGTAAAAGGTTTGGAGAAATGAAGAAACAAGTGAATATTTCATCTTGGCAATAGAGGAACCAATACTTTTGCTCTCTTTCCCATTACTCAGTACTTTTTTCTCCTCCTTTCAACTTTGCAGAGATTAAACAAATGTTTACAAGTGATTGGAAACTGTTTAAATGCCCAGTTTTATAATTCAGAATAGAACTCTTATGACTTTCATTTCAATGAGAAATATTATTTTACAACTCAAAATTCAAGGAGCTGTTTCTAGCCTATCAGTACTATCAATGTTCTGTAATTGTGTAATATGAAAGAACGATCTTCCAATGCAAAATCTACAATGTTATCTAGTCCAGGGCTTTGTAAATTTTTCTACTCGGGGCCCATTTTGGCTCAAGAAATTTGTATATGACTATATATGTATGTGTGTGTGTGTATACACACACACACACACACACGGATATGAAAAAGGTATAAAATCCAAACATTTACTGATAACAAACCAGCATTTTGCAAGGCTTGATAAACTGGCTGATTTTCCTTTTGATAAAGTACAGATGAAGCATTTTCTGTAGAGTCTACTGTAAACACTGCACAACAGATTCATGTGAATATCTAAAACAGCCTCTAGGTGATATTTAGGAAAGAAATGTTATGGCTCCAACATTGGTCAGGCTTAAGAACTAGTCAACACCAGTATTCCAGGAATAAGCAGGGTTTTGTTTTGGTAATTTACATTAATACTTACCCAACGCTAGCCTTGCTGCAAGGCAAAAACGTACACCATCCTTTTAAAACACAAATTTATATATAATTCAAGAAACCTAATTCAAGGTTTCTCTGTAGCATCTAATGTGGTGATACAACAGGGTTCTCTTGTATCACAATATTAGATGGTATAGAGAAGCCACTGAAATCCACAAGTATGTGGACAATTTCAACAGAAATAAGGAAACCATGAAAATGAACAAAATCTGGCTACTAGTATTTAAAAAAACTTTAAAATCAGGACAGTAAATAAAGATCAACACTCTGAAAACAGGGGAATTCCAGGCAAGAAAGAACCAGGGCCTGCTAACACTTCTCAACAAAGGATTCTCCCAGGCAGGAAGCAGCCAGGCTTTGAAGCTGCAAGGCTATTCAATGCTAATCAAGGTGATCAATTGCAACATTCACACTTGCCTCAAAACAGACAAGAGTTCTTTCTCCCACCCTAGACTTTCCAGATATATATAAATCCCACTTTGCCTAGTCTCCAACAAGGGTCATAACCTCTGAGGATGCCTGCCACTGATGTGGGCAAAATGTCAGGAGAAAATGCTTCTGGAACATGACCATACAGCTCGGAAAACTCAGATCAACTCAGTGATTCCAGCCATGAAAGCCTTCGACAACACATTCAACAGGGTTCTGTTGTGTATGATTATACAGCCCAAACAAGAATGCGATATTTCAAAAATTTAAGATATTTGAATACATACAACCCAAATTAACCAGGTGTATTCTCAAAGTCACCAAGTTGAATGCAATTAAAAATAAACAAAGGATGAACAAAAGAACTGCATTCAAAAAGACATAATTCTGTTACTATTGAGTAGACATGCACAGGGTTCGGTGGCCCATTGTTCTTTTGAACAGAAAATTGTTCCAAGCCATCTCCAATACACACATCTATTTTAAAAGACCATAAACAACACACAATTCAGATCACAACCTGAATTCCATTTGCAAAGTAAAATTGTACTGTACTAAAGCTCAACAACATAATTAGATTTTTAAAAATCTGACAGTATTACAGGATAATGAAGGAACATTAGAAGAGGAAGGCTCTACAACAGGCATGGGAAAACTTTGGCCCTCCAGGTGTTTTGGACTCCAACTCCCACAATTCCTAACAGCCTACCGGCTGTTAGGAATTGTGGGAGTTAGAGTCCAAAACACCTGGAGGGTTGAAGTTTGCCCATGCCTGCTCTACAAAGTGGATGTTGATACTTAAAAGTAGTCAATTTTAGGAGACATTTCCCCTTTCTAAAATTACTTTGCAGCCTTGAAAAATCCATTAATGTAGCTTGTCTCTTAAGCAATTATTTTACCACCAACTGCTGATTTCCACACCAAGTTACCAAAGTGAAAATGAAGCCCAGGTTCTCACTTTTGAAGGTTGCTGGATTTTAATCTCTTGGGAGTCAGATGCAGAGTCTGATTTGGTACCTCCGGAGTTCGTTTTTTCCTTTTTTCGCTTCTGTTTCTTTTTCTTCTTTTTGGCTCCCAAGTCTCCTCCTGGACTTCTGTAAAGAGAGAAGAGGGGTGTGTTTGATTGTTATATATAGTACAAAAACCTAAAAAATGAATATAAATGAGAACCTGGTAACAGCAGAACTATAAATTTCAGTGGGTTAAACCGCTGAGATGCTGAACTTTTTGGCTTAAGTAGTATTAGAAAAATATTTCTTCTGTGTATCAAAGATACTTTCCTTTTTCATACCTTTTCTCTAAAGTGGAATTAGATGAATGATCTAAACCCTAATTCCATGTTCCATTATCAACATGGAAATACATTAGTTATTGATGATGATGATTTTTTTAACATTTCTCTTCTGCCCTTTGCCCAATTCAGGATTTATGGTGTGGTGTAGTGGGTTAAACCACTAAGCTGTAGAACCTGCTGACCGGAAGGTCAGTGGTTCAACTCCACGGGATGGGCTGAGCTCCAGTTGTTAGCCCCAGCTTATGTCAACTTTGTAGTTCAAAAACATGCAAGTGTGAGTAGATCAATAGGCACCGCTTCTGCGGGAATGTAGCAGTGCACCATGTAGTCATGCTGGCCACATGACCTTGGAGGTGTCTATGGACAAGCTTTGAAGCGATGGTCCTCAGCCATCAACTCTGCTGGATCGGCCACATTGTCTGGATGCCCGACCCCATCTCCCAAAGCAGTTGCTCTACTCCGAACTCAAGAACGGAAAACGGAATATTGGTGGACAGGAAAAGAGATTTAAAGATGGGCTCAAAGCCAACCTTAAAAACTCTAGCATAGACACTGAGAACTGGGAAACCCTGGCCCTTGAGTGCTCCAGCTGGAGGTCAGCTGTGACCAGCAGTGCTGCAGAATTTGAAGAGGCACGAATAGAGGGTGAAAGAGAGAAACGTGCCAAGAGGAAGGCGCGTCATGCCAACCCCGAGCGAGACCGCCTTCCACCTAGAAACCAATGCCCTCACTGTGGGAGAAGATGCAGGTCAAGAATAGGGCTCCACAAGAATACTGATCCTGGAAGACTATCCTACTTGTCCAACGAGGGATCGCCTAAGTAAAGTAAAAGTAAGTAAGTCTATGGACAAGCCGGCTCTTTGTCTTAGAGATGGGGATGAGCACCACCCCTCAGAGTCAGACACAACTAGACTTAATGTCAGGGGAAACCTTTACCTTTACTTAAATGAGTCCAGCAAACAGAAAGATGAGGAGGAAGCGGCCCCATGCCTGTCTGCAATATTACTTACCTGGTGGATCCAATTCCAATTCGTCCTTCTCTTCCCAGTTCTTTTGCCCAAGCAAAACAGACATTTGTGGCACACAGGAAGAAGGCAAGCCAAATCCGTGAGTATGCGAAGTGGCACACGGGACGGAATCCCCATCTTCCTGGGTGCCTTGAATGTCTGTTTCACACGGGAAAAGGAAGGGAAGTACGAAGTAAAACATAAACACAAGGCATGTTCACCTTTGGAACAGTCGTCTTGTCCACCTCCTTTGGTAGTGAGGCCACAAGCATGACAATAATCAAAATCCTATGTGTGAAACTCATAAAAGTATTTGATTAATTTTTTCCCTTAAATTCTTAGGAAAGTAATTATAAAGCAAAGGGCACATTGACATTAACACGATGATGCAGCTTGAAACTGGTTTGGGGGTGGGGATCCGGTTTTGCCGCTCGGGTAATTAGATTGACTGGTCTGGAACTGGTGATTACATCCTGTAAATGAATGCGGATGTTTTATGTTTAGGTTTTATGTTAGATATCATTTTTAATAAGTTACGTCCAGATCCATCATTGTTTGAGTCCACAGTGCTCTCTAGAAGGTGAACTACAATTCCAAAACTCAAGGTCAAGGCCCACCAAACCTTCCAGTATTTTCTGTTAGGCGTGGGAGTTCTGTGTGCCAAATTTGGCCCAATTCCATTGTTGGTGGAGTTCAGGATGTTCCTTGATTGTAGGTGAACTATAAATTCCAGCAACTACAACTCCCAAATGACAAAATCAATCCCCCCCAACCCCACTCGTATTCAAATTTGGGCGTATTGGGTGTTTGTGCCAAATTTGGTCCAGTGAATGAAAATACATCCTGCATATCAGTTATTTGCATGACAATTCATAGCAGTAGCAAACTTACAGTTATGATGTAGCAATGAAAATAATTGTATGGTTGTGGGTCACCACAACAAGAGGAACTGTAGCAGGGGGTTACGGTATTAGGAAGGTGAGGAACCACTGGTGTAGATGGAGCCAAAGAAGGCACTTAACCCATTATTACCCTCATGCCCATTGGGGATAATAACAATAACAATAATCACCATCATCTTTATTGTATTGTCGAAGGCTTTCATGGCCGGAATCACAGGGTTGTTGTAGGTTTTTTTGGGCTATATGGCCATGGTCTAGAGGCATTCTCTCCTGACGTTTCACCTGCGTCTATGGCAAGCATCCTCAGAGGTAGTGAGGTCTAGTTCCAACAGACCTCACTACCTCTGAGGATGCTTGCCATAGATGCAGGCGAAACGTCAGGAGAGAATGCCTCTAGACCATGGCCATATAGCCCAAAAAAACCTACAACAACCCTATCATCTTTATTTTTGTTTAAATCGAACTTCCTGAGGCCTTATTGTTGGGAACAGTTGGCATATTATTGGTCGGTGCTGTGTGTTTGGGATTGGTGGTCCCACTGATTTGGTGCATTGCTGTACGATGCTGTCGCTCACAAATAAGAGGTCTGGGTTATAACCTCGGTGCCATCTCCCGCTGTTGTAGGATGGTGGGAGCTTGCTATCATGGATGAGTGATAGTTTGTGCAGTTCAGACCAGGACAGGACAGCCTCTCCATTTCTGTCCTCTTGGGCATAGCCCCATACGTGGCTATGGCTGTTGAAGTCACCAATTACTACCGCCCTTTGGAGGCTGCAGAACCCACTACCTCCAGGGCATTACTCCTGAAACAGCTGCCTTGTTGGAAAACTATTACAGGCTCCACAACGAAGACCCATTTAGTGAGCAGACTCTTCAGGCAGCGCAGAGCATTGTGTCCTCCATCTCTGAAGCCAAGAAAGAACAGTGGATCAAGTTGATCACAGAGGTCGACATGGGCAGGAGCAGCCAGAAGGCGTGGAGGCTGCTGAGACGGCTGAGCAACGATCCCTCACAAACTAATACCCATGCCAACATAAAGGCAGATCAGATAGCACACCAACTCTTGAAGAATGGGAAACCCAACCTTGCCACCAAAGTAGGAAAGAAACCAATAGCCAGACAACCAGAGATTGAGAACAACAACCTCCATGAACCCTTTACATCTACTGAATTGGACATGGCTCTCAATAAATGTAAGAATGGCAAAGCAGCTGGCTTGGATGATCTACGGATGGAACAAATCAAGAACTTTGGTCCAAAAGCAAGGCGCTGGCTGCTGGAGCTGATGAACAACTGCACTGCATCCTGTCAGATCCCCAAAATCTGGAGGAAAGCAAGAGTCATCGCCATCTTGAAGCCAGGCAAAGACCGTAATGACCCAAAAAGCTACAGACCAATCTCCCTGTTGTGCCACCTCTACAAAGTTCTGGAGAGACTTATTCTGCATAGAATTATGGAAAATATAGACCCCTGTCTGATCCCACAGCAAGCTGGCTTCAGAAAAGGCAAAAGCTGCACATCGCAAGTGCTGAACCTGACTCAGCACATAGAAGATGGCTTTGAAAGGCAGCAGATCACAGGAGCTGTCTTCATAGACCTGTCAGCAGCCTATGATACTGTGAACCACCGCCTCCTCCTGAGAAAAATGTATAATATCACAAAGGACTACCACCTCACCCGCCTCATAGGAAACCTGCTACAAAACAGGAGCTTTTTTGTTGAGTTCCAGGGCCAGAGAAGCAGATGGCGGAAACAGAAGAACGGCCTGCCTCAGGGGAGCGTGCTTGCTCCATCCATGTTCAACATCTACACAAATGACCAGCCACTGCCAGAAGGGACAGAGAGCTTCATCTATGCTGATGATTGTGCCATCACCTCAAGCAGGGAGCTTTGAGATGGTAGAACAGAAGCTCTCCGAAGCTCTAGGTGCTCTTACTGCCTATTACAGGGAAACCAACTGATCCCTAATCCATCTAAAACACAGACATGCGCCTTTCACCTTAAGAACAGACAAGCATCCCGAGCTCTGAGGATTACCTGGGAAGGAATCCCACTGGAGCATTGCAGCACACCCAAATACCTGGGAGTCACTCTGGACCGTGCTCTGACCTACAAGAAGCACTGCCTGAACATCAAACAAAAAGTGGGTGCTAGAAACAACATCATACGAAAGCTGACTGGCACAACCTGGGGATCACAACCAGACACAGTGAAGACATCTGCCCTTGCGCTATGCTACTCTGCTGCTGAGTATGCATGCCCAGTGTGGAACACATCTCACCACACTAAAACAGTAGATGTGGCTCTTAATGAGACATGCCGCATTATCACAGGGTGTCTTCGCCACACCACTGGAGAAATTACACTGCTTAGCCGGTATTGCACCACCTGACATCCGCCGGGAAGTAGCAGCCAATAGTGAAAGGACCAAGGCAGAGACATCTCCAGCTCATCCCGTTTGGGTATCAGCCAGCACGTCAACGACTTAAATCAAGACATAGTTTTCTTAGATCTACAGAGACACTCGCTGGAACACCCCAGCAAGCGAGAGTCCAAAAGTGGTAGGCCCAAACCCAACACCTCAATTCATGGGTGATACCAGATGAGAGACTCCCCCCTGGGCACTCAGAAGACTGGGCGACTTGGAAGGCGCTGAACAGATTGCGCTCTGGCACCACGAGATGCAGAGCCAATCTTAAGAAATGGGGCTACAGGGTGGAATCCTCGGCATGCGAGTGCGGAGAAGAACAAACCACTGACCACCTGCTGCAATGCACCCTGAGCCCTGCCACATGCACAATAGAGGACCTTCTTGCGGCAACCCCAGAGGCACTCCAAGTGGCCAGATACTGGTCAAAGGACATTTAACCAAATACCAAATTTGCAAAATC